AACCCATCCATCTATGCATCCATCCATCATCCATCCATCCAACTATCCATCTATCCATTCATGCATCCAACTATCTATCCAGCCACCCATTCATCCATCCATCTGTCTATCCATCTATCCATCCATCCATACATACATACATACATTTTTCCACCATCCATCCATCCATCCATCCATCTATCCAGCCACCCATCCATCTATCCATCATTTATCCATCTATCGACCCATCCAGCCATCTATCCACTGTCCATCCATCCATACATACATACATCTTTCCACCATCCATCCATCCATTCATCCATCCTTCCACCCAGTCTGACTTTAGTTTATTGTAGAATAAGTACAGTTTCACAACACATATTTTTTTCCTGACCAGGACATTCTGCACCAGGACTTGACTTGAGACCAATGGGACGTATGTATCATCTTTGCTGACTTCTGTTTTATCAAACTCTCTCAACTCACCACCACTTACTTCAAAAACACCAATAATCTGTAAGATGGCCATCTTCTCTCCAAAGGTCCACCCAGTTTTGGGCCTCGTTCTTTTGGTGGCCTGCCTCTGGACTATCCTGTTCGGTTTCCTCCCGGCCGACCGACGCCCAACAACATCCAAGCCATCTGTGTCCATGGAAACCACCGTCCCCGTTACCCAGACTCTTACTTTCCTCCCTCTTATTTTAGCAAACAGAAACGAAAGGCTGCAGCTGTGAACAACGCAGAGTCCTGGTTCGACTCGTGCTGCAAGATGAACCAGACGTTGGGGGTAGAGGGGACGCTGTGTTGCGCAACACTGGCTGTAAGTTTGTTCATGACAGCTCTTGTAGCCAATTCAGCAGTTTTAGTTTGTTGACAATTTGGTATCCTTTGTGTTGAAATTGTTATTCACTTGGATGCTTCCTTTTTGATTTTGAAGCTTTGACTTTAAACATACTCAATACAAACACCAACCAAAGCACAGGATAAAAACCATGTTATGAGATTGTAGTTATAGGAATAAAGTATCAGACCACTAACGTGTCCTTTCTTGAGACAGACACTGAATCTCTAGAAGAAACAACCTTATGCATTCTAAAAAAGTTAAATCTGGTCCTCTGGACATTAAAAAAAAAACCTTATGCATTATTTTATTCACAATTTGAAGTAATTGTTAAAAGGGTTTAAGCTGAAATGTAGCTAGACACAAAAAAGTCTGTATGTTTTGAAACCGTTTTGAAAAAAAAAAAAATCTTGAAACATTCTTCACATTCCAGAGATGATGGTTCCTACATTTTATCAAAGCTGAAGGCCTCGGGGTGTTTTCAGTAGATAACCCCAGTTAGACATAACAGGAATATTTGTTATGAATGCAAGGAAAGCAGAAAACCAGCAGCTGCACAAACTCAGCTGGGAGCACTTTCATTTGGAGCAATTTGCTTCAATTACTCTTCAATCTTGTTACTGTTTTCTTTTGGTCTTTTCTCCAGTGGGAGCATTCGGTGAAATTGTTCTGTGAGGAAGATTCATCGGTGAAGGATCGGCTTTACGAATGCTGCCGGAAAAGGGGCGATAAAAGACTGAACTGTTTCAGCAAGGATTCTCCAAACCCCAACTATGAGGCGACAGAGGAGCTGCCGGTGGAGCCGGTTCGGGCCTCCGCTGAGTTCCACTTCAAGCTCTCCGACTGCTCAAGGTTCGATGTTGTTTTCATTTTTATGTGACCTGGCTATTCAAATGATGATTAAAGCTTAATATTAATAATCTTGAAGTCACAAAACAAAAAAAAATGACATCAAATGCCTTAACGAACTTGACTATAGCAATAATCTGATTTGAAAAACAAAACAAAAAATAAACAAAAAACAACAACAACAACGATTAATTCATCCAGACAGCTGATAATGCTATTTCCAAAAAGTACTACATGTTTTTATTTGTTCCATTTGATTTCCTTCTAAAAATTAAGTACTTTATCTGCAGTTTATCTATTAAAACAACTTCCAGCCATCAGTAAATCTAGCTGTCAGGTAACAGTACAAACTAAAATGTCGAAACGTAACCAGCTGACAAATCTGCATGATTTGATGTGTAAATATTAAAAAGTGTTGATCAAAGAACAAGAAGGGTTGCAGAGGGAGAGCAGCACCCCCCTGATGGATGCCAGAGGACATTCGTGTCCGTGTACATAAGAGTTACAGAAAACAACTAAAACAAGTTTCATTTGGGGCTACATATGTTTAAATTATAATAATATGTTTGATATTATTATTATTAGTTTTTAATATTTGGTGTATACGGTTATATATCTGTGCACAAAAATGTAATAACCTTGAAATATTTCCTTTTCATGCCTCTACAGTATCTTGAATCTGTTTTGAGTTGAAGTGACATTATTTTGATTGACAAATTTGGACTTTATTTGAATAATATTGATAAATGGGGTTTTGTAAAACCATTCATTTGCTGCAGCGACGCTGATGAACGTAGCGTGCAAAAGATCATGATTGCAATTTCATAGAAATTGCAAAAAGCATTGCTGATGTCTGTATTTAGATAGCTTGGAGTGCCAGTGTGCATATTACTGAATACTTTTGGTATTTTAATGGTAAATGGACTGTACTTATATAGCGCCTTTTTATCTTATTGAGATGTTCAAAAGTGCTTTACACTACAATCTGTGTCCTCGCTGATTAGTCTCTTTAGAATGATTTGTTCAATTAGCTTTGTAGAGATCTAGTAGAGTGATGTATGAATGGGTAAATGAGGCACAGATTGTGTTGTAAAGAGCTTTGAGTGTCTTGATAAGATAAGGGGCTAAAGTGTAAATGAAAAAAAGTACAGTCCATCTACGTATATCTAGACAAAGAATAATCAGTGTTTTATCACATTCATACACCGATGGGACACACATCAGAGCAATGAGGGGTTCAGTGTCTTGCCCAGGGACACTTTAGCATGTGACTGCTGGTGGAATCAAACCCCCAACTCTTACATTGGAGGACGACTGCTCTAACCACTCAGCCACTTAATGTGTTCATTGTCATAGAAATTCTCTCAGCAATAATTAAACGTGCACACAGCACATCCCAACTTAAACACATTCTGTGATTCAGTTTCAGTTCAGTGACTGAATGCACTTTGCTTGTGCTCTGATTTTTATCATTAATGACAAACTGATGACATTTAGTCATAGATCAGGATTCATGCAGAATTAGTTAAAAGTATAAAATGGAGGGAAAATAACTGAAGTATACAGGCAACCGTATAAAACCGTCTTCATCTTTTATCTGTTCCCTCTTCAGGGGTCGCCACAGTGAGTCATCCTCCATCTAAATTTGTTTAATTCATCTTATGTCTTCTCTCCAACTACCTCCATGTCCTCTCTAACCAGATAAAACTGTCCAAACTGAGCAAATTTGTAACTCTTGGTGATGCTTTATGCCCGAAGGCTAAAAGCATAGGCCACAACATAGACTTTTTTTTTAAAGCTCTTAAATTTTTGTGGTTAAATATAAAAATAAATCCATTCCATCAAATACTCTTTTGAAATCTAACATGGTTTCAAATGTTCTAAAAGTGGGTTTATGTGGATCATTGTTTTCATGACTCAATGCAGCCATTTTCAGCTTTTCTTGCATTCTGCAGTAAAGCAATCCAAATGTAAAGAAAACTGAATCACGGAGAAGTGAAACAAAATTGCAAAACAGACCTCTTCATTTTAAATTAAACCTTAAGCTTGACTTAATGTTTAGATCTGCTGCTTTACCTTGAATGTTGCAGGAATCAGATGACTCCATTAAGTCTGAGAGCAACAGAAACAACAGAGGAGATCCCGTCGACTTCCCAGAATGCAGACATCCATTTTCCTCCTGGACGGCCTTCTGCAGACAACATTGACTCGGTGTGTGCTAACCAGAAGCTTCGGCCTCTTTATACCACCAAGTGTCTGTCCCATTCAGGCAACGAGCTGCTGGCTCGTCAGGTGAAGACCATCAACCGTTTGGAGAAAGGATTCAAACGTTGCTGCAAACAGAAGAACGGGGCCTCCGCCTGTGCTGACAAGAAGGTAAAACAAGTGGAGACTTAGTTTCTATTTGAATGATTTCTGATTATAGATTTAATTTCTTTGAAGTGGCGGGAGGAGATGAACAAGTACTGTTCGGCTCAGAAGGGGGATCAAGCGGATTTCCACTGTTGTAGGGGTAAAAAGGTGACTGATAGATACAGCTGTTTCCAGACCAGTTCTCCAGACCCACACTATAACAGAACTTCTGCCACTGAAGAGATCTCGTTTGACAAAATATGTGACTTCCACAACATCATTAAGACCAGGTAGGATTGTGCAGCATCTCTCTCACTGACTGGTTTCATTTGATGTCAAAGTTATAATGTAATAGCTTTGAGCAGCTGTTCAGACACTGAAGTGCATGTAAGTTGATGATAATGTAATTCTGTGTAGATTTCCTGGGTTTGCTCTGGAGCCCTTTGTGGAGCAATGCTGCCCCCTGCCGGGAGAAAACAAGAACAACTGTTTAGAGCAGAAGGTGAGTTGTCAAACTGGAAGTGACTCAATTCAAATTAAAGCAACCCAAATGACTTTCAAACAAAATGTTTACCTGTTTTTCCACGTGGCCTCGTTTTCTGAACGATATCAGCTCGAGGAAACATCTCAGAACTTGTGCTCCTCAAACAAGACTCCCTCTCCAGCTGTTCGACGTTGCTGCAAGATTCAATCACGTGAAGGGATTCCACAGTGTCTGTCCAAAGTCGTCATGGATGCCATCACCAGAGCAACACGTGTCCAGACGCAGAAGAAGAAGAAAATATGCCCTATCCCTTAAACCCATTGTTACCACTGAAGAAATTGAGAAACTTGCTCCAGAAGTTGTTTCTAATCACTGAAGACAATTAAGCAATGCAGCACAAATCCCATGTTGAGGTCTGAAACAGACAAATTGTATTAAAACTATAAACCTTCAAGCTTCATTTACTGCCAGCGTAAATTAATATGAAGCATTGTTGTCTTTAAGAATCAAACTAAACACCTTCAAATGCACTCCTTCACAGACTTGTTGAAGTACTACTTTCTTTTCATTGTTGCTTTTTGCATACTGCGTTTGAATAAAACTTGAGAAGTACAACATATACATATTTTCTTTTTTTTTTAAACATAGATTTGTATCAGAAGCTATTTTAATAAAAACCTTTTAAAGGCTTTCCTTGTGGGGTTATTGTGGGACATCTTGCAAGTTTATTAAAATGCAATAGCTGCTCATTTTTAAACCATTCACTAACTTTTTCTGGAATGAAGGCCAGGCAAAGATCAATCCACCATCAAACCTCTCATTTAAACCATGGTTTAAAGGAGAATTATTATTTTTTTTATTCCAGATAAGATCTGTTATACCTGATGGATTTTTATCATGAATATAGTCTTCTAGACTGAACAGCCTGAGACTGTTGATGGAACGACACCTGCACCCAGACTCTTCTACCACGAAGCTGTTGTAATGGGTGCAGTATGGGCATTGTGCAAGGCCTTCCCTGCAAAAGTCATTGTCTGGATGGGAGCTTATGTTGTCCTAATGTTGCAAAATGCCATTCCCACCCTTACTTATCCATACCATTTATTTAAAAAACATTTTAACAGTTTAAACATTTGATATGTTTAATATGTTCCATTTTATTTATTTATTATAATTCCACAACTGTATTTATTTACCTTTAACACCTTCACAGTTTTTTCATAATTGGAGTTGTAAGTTTTCTAAGCAAATTATTAAATAGAAAATGTAATTTTATAGCCTATTTGAATATTAAAAGCATAAAATGCCAACTAAAGCAAAAGGCTGGTCATGCATTGAGCTCAATATTTAACTGTTCCCCTTCCGGCCACTGGGGGCGCTGTTGTGCTGCTGCTGCATTTTCAAGGCAACCATCGGCGCTAATGGCGACTGCTGGAACCGCAGACTCGGGATCAACACTCCCGACAGGTACCATGTCAATTATTTTTCTCTTTTTATCTAAAAAAAGAAGATATAAAATAATCGTTCGAACCTTATATGGCAACCAGTACGATGTTGTTTGGTGGCTATCGTTTTTCCTCGTTAGCTAGCAGCTAGTTAGCATCGAGGATTTCAGCCCAACAAATGAAGCTGGCGCGTTTAGCTGCTTCTGGGGAATAAACCTTAGCGGTGGGGTTGCTGGAACTCCTGGGTCGCCGAAGCATATAGTTATTTTTATATTTTGGTAACATGTTAGTAACACAGGCTAAACTGTGTTTGTGTGTTTGGTATCAAGCCGGGTATCGTTACCGTTATGTTTTTACAACATGATGATGCAGCAGCACACCATGCTGTAGCTAAATTACCTTCAATAATATTTATAGGTTATAGGTCATTGAGTTTGCATCAGGATAATATTTATAGGTATTGTTTTCTCGTAAATTAAAGTTTTATTTGGATGACAGGAAATCGACTGGAGCAACCCTTCTTCATATCTTAACTCCTCTTCCTCACTGTGGTGAAGAGAAAATCCTCTTTTTAGTCACCTGCCCCCCCCAACAAAAAAATAGTTTTTATTTTCCGAGGTTTAATGTGGTGCCTCATCTAATGTGTATCGATCCGATTGATTTCCCTACGTTCCTTTAACCATGTACGCATGCGCGTCATGTTTATGAATTGGTCCATTCACTCAGTTGTCCCTGTTCAGATGATTAAAAAATAAAAAATAAAGCTTTTTTTTTTCCTGACTCACTTTCAGATACATTCACCCACTGTGAGTTGTGCGTGTCATTTTGCAGTAGCCACACAAACACATGCAGACACGTTGGGTTTCTTATGAGACAATGGGGACATACCCTGTTTCTCATCTAGTGTCTTTCCTGTGGGAGTTCTTCAGAAACAACCACTCAGTAGAAATCAGTGGGTCAAAATTGTGGCTTTCAGCCAGACTTGTGGCTTAAGTTGTAGTGCATATACAAAATAAAGCAAATTGTCAAGCGTGCTATTTCAGTCACTTGAGTGACGGCACCATGCATGCAACATTGGCCTTGTTTCCAATTATGGTGAGTAAATTGTACATTGACAGACTCGTCATTGGCTGAAAAGGTTGTAAAAAAGTGTGTACGTCCCATTAAATCTTTAGCTGCAGGCTACTTGTGAATAGGGTTGGCAGACTAGTATAGGAACAGATGGTTTTCCTGTTCTTGTCAAGCCCGCCACTGATGAGCAGAAGTCATTGTTAAGCAATTAGGTTGGTCTAATTCCTGCCCTAATTCTGGTGCACAATGTGTGCTATTACTAAGTTTCACTTTAAGCTTTGAGGAATTAGAAATCTTTATCACCTGCCACCTAAAGCGATTATGTTTTTACTCGTGTCTATATGTGAATGCTCGTTTGACTGTAACATTAGCAAGAAATCTCATGAAGCAGGGAACAAATCTCAAAGTAATCACTGAAAGTACATCTACAGTGTGTTCATTTTTGCAGTCAACCCCTTTTTATGATGAACCACAGCTAAGCAACATTAAGAGACACTAAATTGGCTATAACTCAGCCTATTTTAAAGACATCAAGCAAAAATTTGTTGTGGTAGTAGCTGAGAGTAGTCCCCAACATATCCTTAAAGCGCTAAAAGATCACACTAGATCTCACGAGACTGCACATAATGTTAAGCTTTCACCAAATGTAAAACTCTCCCATCATTTCTTGATATAAGACGATTTGATCTAGTTTTATATTTTTGCCTCTAGTTAAAACACCCAGATAAAAAAGTTCAGTATTTGGCTCTTAAATCCAGATAAAAGGTTTAAAAGCAAAACTAATGGACTCCTACTCTGAAGCTGAAGACGTTTCATGTCTGGAGTGTGCAGCATCCCGAGCTTTATGAGAGGCCTCGCTACGTCGAACTACTCACCCCTCGCAAAGGAGGGTGTTGTGAAAAAATAAATAAAACTTGTACAGAAACACGTGAGTTAATAAAAGATGTGTTCAAAAATGGTCTTTGAATTTGTTTATTGCAATAAACCTTGTACCGACAACCGTCGTACAGAATGCTTTTTCACACAGAGAGGTGTCAATGACAAAAAGTCCAGTCCAGCTTTATAGCTCTTGCACATGTGATTCAAGAAAGACAAAGAAAATGGGTCATGAATAAAAATCATTGTGCCCTGACAGTTTTCTGATAACTGGAGCTGATTGTTTTTGTACTCCATTCTGTTTAGATTATAACGAAGATCTACCGTAGTTAGACAAGACCTATCAATTATGAGATGTAATGTTCTATGTTGATAAACATGGGATGCATGATTCATCCTTATTTCACAATCACCTTGAGCACTGTATTTTTTCCACTGTGAAGACAAACACATAATGTTAATTTTATATTTAAGGTTAATATATTTAAGGTAACGTAAAAATGTTTTCTATAGCAAGGGTCGTTAGGGTCTTTGTTAGCCTGGCTCATGAGAATGCTTTGGTCACATGCGTGAATGTGTTAGAGTGGAATTGACTGGGAATCAGGCCAAATGCTTCATTGTAGGCTTGAAATCTGAGACCTCCTCCTGTTTAAAGTTGTTTTTCTCTCGTTTGACGTAAATGGCTGCTTTCGCACCCCTTTCAAAATATCTGTCTTCTCTGTCTAAAATATGGACGTTTTGGTTTCCCTTATTTATGAGGTGTAAGTGCACAGCTGAGTAATCCTGAAGAGCTGGCTCTCCTGTGCGGAGTCAATAGAAACGTCTTCAGCTACTGAGTAGAAATCCAGTTGTTTTGTTTTTTTAACTTTTTTTTTTTGGATTTATCATGTCCTGGATCACTGAGAATCTTCACCCGCCTGTTTGGCTCTCACAACAATTAGCCAGTTGGGGCTAATGATGTTCTGCTTCACAGATATTAGGACTCAGTTCTGGAGGAGGGCATTACAGCGAGGTATCCGCATGGGTCTGCCGTGTGTTTGTGTGTGAGAACAGAAACTGCATGGGTAGGGATGTTTTACATAATGAGAGGGAATGTGGGCAGACTGATGCCCATTTTTTTCCTGGTGGATTGCAGTGTGTCCCTGTTAAGGGTGCAGATGCATGGCTTAAAGTGAGTCTGCTTTATTATTAATAATACTCCCTCATTTCTTGTGCTGAAATAGCTTTTTACTCTGCATTCACTGCAGTGAACTTCTGAGGTGAAGAGTAGTTTGCAAAAGCAAGTTGGTAAATATAATTTTCACTTTTTGTATCATTCAGTTGTGGCGCAGTATGTTGCCATTGGTTACAGAGTAGAGACGATTGGCTAGTGTACGAGAGAGTGCGTTTTTAAATCGAGGTTTTCTCAGGACACAGTTGTATGGTGCTCCTACAAAACTTCTCTATGCAGGGTTTTGACCTAACCTTTGGTAATAATCCGCAACATTTTACACTTGCCCAGAGACATTTGACATCACCAGTTTTGTAGTCAAAATGAGCAACACACAGATTAATAATTTTTCTGAGTTCTCTAGTTTTGAACATTTTAAACATCGTTGGTGTTTAAAATCTACTTTAAATGGTAAAATGTAATTTTCTGTAGCATATAAAGTAAGGCGAGGTTAAAGACGAGACATTTTATCAGTTCTCCGTCAGGACATAGTGACGTTGACACACATCCTCTGGGAACAGATGAATATGGAGCAGCCACTCGGGGAGGGGAGGCGGGAGGTACCGGTAGTTCTAGTTTACATAGATATGCTGTATCGAATGCAGCAGTCGGTAACTGTGGCCACATTTAGGTCTGGGCTCATCGTTGCCCTGATAGTTTTCAGCCAAATGCTGGAAATAGCTCTGATGCTAATTAACTAGCAGATGTTTTTTATAAACGAGGCAGATTCCTCCTTCTCCATGACAAAAGCTTCCAGTTTAAACAGTTAAACCAGTACATTTTAAGCATCTTTGTTACTATTACTGCATGTTTTTGTTTGTTTTGTTTTTTGATTATTGTGATTTTTAATAAAAATGGGTGTGGACAAAATTTAAAAAAAGTATTCATTCTGTGTTCATTTTCCTCTGTAGCTTCTCAAGACATTACCTTTTTTTATAATAAATGTTTAAGAGTAACTTTTCTTTCTCTCTTCAGGGACCAGCAGCATTCGAAAAATGGCCCCTGCAGAGGTAAGGTTGCCAAGTTTTGTCCTAAAACCTATTTGCAGTAAGTAAAGTTAATGTTGAACCTGTCAAGGAGCCGAGGGCAAGTTGAGAAACATGAAGCTTACAGCCACAGATTGGAGATACCAGTTACTAAAATTTTACTATGAAGTGTTAAATGGACTATAACAGGGGTTTCACAATTTTTCTGTAGTTGTATAAAAGTCATAACTGAGTATCTGTTAAAACTTTATAATAGTAAACCTCAGAGAAAACATTTAATTAATCACCCTTTGTCTTCACAATTTGACTGGTTGAGAATTCTGTACTCTGATTTGTTTGACATATTACCATAGGTTTGTGGTAATTAGTTTATTCTTTATGATTTAAAGTTCCCACAGTGGCAAGCTCTTGGTTTTTTGTGTTTACACCCCACAAATCCACGTTAGACCATGTCTGATTTATATTTTCTGTCCCTCTCCTAAGGTGCCTGGCTCTTCAGGCACAACTCAAAGTATGAAGAAGACCATTGGGCACCGGGGCGTTGAGACAACAACAGGAGAGACCACGTACAAAAAGGTGGGTCAGTGAGCAAGAAGTAGGAACAAATGTATTATCATTCCTTAATTTTCTTTAATTATTAACTCCGTTTTTTCTTTAGACTACATCGTCTGCCCTAAAAGGTGCAATCCAGTTGGGCATTGCACACACAGTGGGCAGCTTAAGTCAAAAGGCAGAAAGAGATGTTCTCATGCAGGACTTTGTGGTGGTTGAAAGCATCTTTTTCCCAAGGTTGGTAACACTTAGCTTAAAGATAAAGTAAAACACTGTGCTGAATTAGTCATATTTTATACAGATGAAGCAAAGCTCAATGGACATTCAGTCTCTTGCTTTCTCTGTCTGGTTTGTTTCCAGTGAAGGCAGTAACCTGACTCCTGCTCATCACTACAGTGACTTTCGCTTTAAGACCTACGCTCCTATTGCCTTCCGTTACTTCAGAGAAATGTTTGGCATCCGGCCAGACGACTACCTGGTCAGTACTTGCACAAAGCACCACCTGCCATCCGCTCTTTTTATGCCTTTGTGTTCATGGATATTTATTCAGTGACTTTTATGCATTTATTCCAGGAGCTTACATCATTTGGTGCATGGAACAATGACTGTGAATTTTTTGTTTGTTGGATGGATATTTGTTTTAGAGCTACTTTATTGTTTGTATTATAGTATAAGTTGCTTTGTTTGCTGTGCTGTCTTACTTGACACAGAGAGCCTAAATCATGGTCTTAATCACAGTCATAAATATTCTTGTGTTTTTCTCTGAAATCCTTTTTTCTAATATATGCATTGAAGAAGCCTCCATCAAATAAAAACATGTTTCTGTAGTTGAGCAATGGTTTTAAGTAACTGTAACGACTAATCTATTACATCAAGATGTGTTTTTGTTTGTCTTTGTTCTATAGCTATCATATTTCTTACCGTTTTTTTAGACTAAAGAAGATGTCAGAGTGTATAGTAATACAGTTTGTTTTGCTTCTTTAAAGTATTCTTTGTGTAATGAGCCACTGATCGAGCTGTCAAACCCTGGAGCCAGCGGATCCATCTTCTATGTTTCTAGTGATGATGAGTTTATCATCAAAACGGTTCAACACAAAGAGGCAGAATTTCTCCAGAAACTCCTACCAGGTTACTTCATGGTGAGTCTGGAGAAAGTAGCAACTTTTGAGTGTGTTTAGACAGCTAATTTTATTTTTATGCACTAAATAGAATATTTATAAATGAAGGAGGGTTAATTTCATGCCATGGTTCTTCTACTTAACCTTTTAAAATGACAATACATTTATTGGGCCCTCTGATAAAAGTCCAATAAAAATGCAATTTATAAACAAGTTTTTTTTTTTTTTACTTCCACTGCATCAAATCTTTTCAATAACTTCAGACCCAACAAAAAATATAAAGATTTTAATTATTTTTCTATTCACATTTTTAAACCTCGTCATAAAAACCTGTGATTTGTTTTTTCTATGGGAAAAACACAAAATATGCAATATTTTCAACAATGTGCAAAGTGAATTATTTGGTATGAGGTTATTCTAGCCTTGACTAGATCAATAATTGATAACATTGATTTTAATATATTATTTTTAGAGAAATGACAGTTTATATATATATATATATATATATATATATAAACCACACACCTTTCACCCCAAGGCACAAAACGGTCCCTCCTGAAAATTGTCATAAAAATGCTATAAATCACTTTTTTATCTACTTTACTGCATAAAATATTTTGATAACTTCAGACACAATCATAGAGATATATTTTTTGTTTTATTCTTTGTTTTTATGCCCTTTTCATCATGAGTGTTTACAAATCAAGGCATATTCTACAGATCATGGTGAGGTGCATTTTACATGCATGTGCTCCACATTTCGTGCACTGGTTCCACACTCTTTTGTGCTGTGGCCACAAGACACTGCCTCTGCTTTCCGCAGGGCCCTTGCTGTGTCTTCTTTTCCTCTTTCTCATCGTTGTCCTGGTCTTGTAGAACCGGCTAGCTGCAGACGGTCCTCTGGGCAAACGGCTCCTCTTTGCTGTGGCCGGATCTGCGGTGGTCTGGCTGAGACAATTTGTCATCAAACTCCAGGGCCAGATTCATCTGCAAATATCTCTTCTGGGACATTGCTGCATCGATTGCACGGGCTGTCTCATTGTCCCACAAGCTTTTTGTTGATTCGTGTTGTGACTTGAACATCCTGCCTTGATCAGCAGCCCCATGTAGACCTGCAGCTCCTCCACACTAACATCCTTCCATTCACTCACTGACCTCTTCCCCTGCAGGTTTGTGAAGAACATGGTCAGCTGCTGAGTGTCCTCAGTGAAGAAAAAGGTCAAATGTACCCTCAGGGCTACTGATCCTAGCAAGTGCAAAATAAGTTGGCCCTGGGGTCAAGATAGAAGGGGGTAAAATGCAGAGCCTCTTCATGTATGGGAGACCACAGGATTTCCCCATTTTTTTATTTCCATGGAGAGGTGTCATTCTCCATTGCATGTTCCTCTTCTTCCTCGTCCTCCTCATCTGAGCTACAAGGCCCCTCTGTGACTGGCGGGAATTCCTCCCCTGATCCTTCCTGGTCCTCAGAGAAATCTTCACTGCTACTATCTTCCTCATGCTCATCTTCCTCAGAGGACTGCAAAATTGCAACTAGCGTTTCCTACTATCATGGCTGTCTGCTAGAGAAATGACCAGTCAGACAAGACTGCAAACTACTCTTGTAGACTTCAAAACATGCACCTGCATAAACATATTGCACCACGTGTCCATTTGACATGACGCAAATGGTAAGATCGCTCCTCCCACGCTGAAATGTAATCCAGTGTGAGCTAACAGACAAATCAACAAGATAGCTGTAATGGCAGAGGTAGTGAAGCTCACAGCGTTACTGAGGCATCTGGTGAGGCAAAAAACATTACAAAGATACTATGGTAATAACTTGAAATACCAGTTACTGCTTGTTGACATGCTTGTCTAACATTTTACTGTTCAAGATGAAATGTAAAAAAGCTATTTGTTAGATTTAAAAAATAAATAAAATATGTTATGGCATAAATTTGTTATTCCAGTGTTTCCCCTACCATTATACAAGCAGGGCACCTTGCCCAGTCAACAGAACAGAGCCCCCCCCCCCACACACACACACACCTGCCAGCACTGATGTAACCGTACCACTCAAAAACGTTCGGTACAAACAGTGCACAACAGATGCCCTCCCTCCCCCCAGTCGATAAAAATCACGGGAGATAAGAGCGCCCTGCCAAGGCAAGTAAACTAGGGGAAACACTGTATTCTGTATGTTCTTACTTAATATGTGCACGAGTGCTGGCAGAGACTTGATGGGGACTTTTGTTTAGCTGTGTCAGTCATAATCGTGGTACCTGCATTGCCGAACACTTATAATTGTCCATATTGGGACATTTTTTAGAACCTCCAACTTGTGGAAGTTCTTATCATTTGTAATTAATAATTATTCATTTAAATTTAAGAAAATAATTTATTTGTACAATTTTTCATATTCTTTCTCCCTTCCAGAATATAAACCAAAACAAGCGAACCCTGCTCCCGAAATTTTATGGACTGTACTGTGTTCAGGCTGGAGGGAAAAATATCCGTATTGTTGTCATGAACAATCTTCTGCCTCGGATCATCCCCATGCACCTCAAATACGACTTGAAAGGCTCCACCTATAAAAGACGAGCTTCTCCTAAGGAACGAGAAAAGACTGTCCCCATTTACAAAGACCTGGACTTCATCCAGGACATGCCTGATAGCCTGCTGCTGGAAGCAGACAACTTCAATGCTCTGTGCAAGACGATTCAGAGGGACTGCTTGGTGAGTGTCACAGGGACAATTGTGTTGTTTTTTCATAGACTGTTATTCCAGTATCATGCTCTGAAGTGTGCTAAAATAACTGACTTGTTAGCTGCTAAGGACCGTGTCTTTAGCGATATGATAAGCTGCTGCTTTATTAATGTTGCGCTATCTCTCACACTGTTCCTCTCATAAGGCACAGCACGGCTAAATGAGTTTTGACCCGTGGTTTGTCTCAGGGAAGGAGGCTGAAGTCAGTCTTAACGTTTTAAATGGTGAAAAAGATTCATAGTGCCAACTTTTGTCGGGACTTGTTTTTTGCATTGTCTACAGAAAACATTTTTCTGCTGCTCATCTGACAATTTAAATCCAACCACCTCCAAATAACAGCCATTGTTTATCTTTTTGCTCAGCAGCTAAGCTGCTCTTCGATATCTCCCATTTACTTGTTGTGCTTAAACTCCTGCCCACCTGGAGAAGCAGGAAGCGGAAGGAGCGCGCGAGAGTGAGGGGCTGGGTTTGTATTCAGTGAGGGAGAAGAAGGGGCCACGTGCAGTTGGTGCAGACAGGGGAAAAAGACCGATTTTCAAGTCTAATGATACTCGATGGTTGCGATAGAGCCATTTTAACCATCGTAAATTGAAAAACTTGCAATACATTGAGTGTATTTGATACAGTACATTACCCAGCCCTGCTATGGATGGCTTTGATATACTCTTACCCGTTATTTGTATGTATCACAACTAATATACAGCGTTGGATTGAAGTGTGTTTTTTTTTTTTACCAAATTTTGTTGAACAAGTAAATTTCCTACTGATACAGTTCTAAAAGTCTTGGAAAAATGTTTGTCTCATGGAAACAAAATCTTGGATGGCACTGGAGTTGTCACACTCAACCAACATCATCCATCTGTCCATTATCTGCCACCTGTTTTAGAGTCATCGTGGGGGCAGCAGCTAAAAAAAAACCTATATCGGATTTGGACCACATTAGCCTGCAGTGTGAATGTAGCCTTAGTCTCTCCAGCACTTCCTGGGTCTTTCCTTGGGTCTCCTCCAGCTTGAACATAACTGGAACACCTCCCCTGGTGTCCAGGGTTCATGCTTACCAGTTGCCAGAACCATCTCAACTGGCTCCTCTGGATGTGGAGTAGCAGCTGCTCTACTCATAACTTTCTCCTGGACAACTGAATTTGTCTCTTAAGATAAAGCCCAACTACCCTGCAGAAAAAACACATTTTGACCACCTGCACTTGAGATGGCGTTCTTTCTGTCACTACATAGTTTGTTACTATAGGTGAGAGTAGGAGCATAGACTGATGGGTAAATGGAGAGCTTCGCCTTGAAGCTAAACTCTCGTCATCACAGTGGACTGGTATAGAGTTTGTAATACTAGCTACCGAGCCGTCTGTCAGTCTCATTCCCCGTTCTTCCATCACTCATGAAGAAAACCCTGAGAGACTTAAAACACCTCCACTTGAGGCTAACTGGAGAGGATAGTCCACCCTTTTGGCCTTAGATTTGGAGGTGCTGATCTTTGTCCCATCTGCTTCACACTAAGCTGCAAACCGCTCCAGTGAGAGCTGGAGATCATGGCACAGTGATGCCACCAGGAGAAATCCTGATGCTATTGAACCTCACCTCTTCCGTCTCTGGCTGCACCTTAAAATTCTGTCCATAGAAGTTGTGAACAGAGTCGGTGACAACGGGCAGCATTAGTGGAGTCTGACTCTCACTATGAAGTGAGGAGGTCCGACTTATTGGTAATGCAAACCAGACTCTCGCACCATTTGTATGTTGCCTTGATGTGAGTTTCTTTTTTTATTTTCTTCTTTGGTTGTTGTTTTAACTCTAGAAAAGTTTAAAATATTTGTTTTGTGACAGAATGCGACTTCTTTTGAGCATTTGCATGTTTTATTCAGCTCCTACAGAGTTTCAAGATCATGGATTACAGTCTGTTGATGGGTATCCACAACATGGAGCAGGCAAGTCGAGAGCGGGAGCGCAGTGGGGGCAGCTCGAGAGACGGTGCGGTGTTGGAGGGTCCTGTGACCCCAGATCAGCGTCGGCCTCAAACTCAGAAAAGTTTGTACTGCACAGCCATGGAGTCCATCCAGGGGGAAGCGCGAGGGAAGGGAGCCTTGGATTCAGAGGATCAGTGAGCGCTTCTGTTTGAGCCACTTGTGTGTTTGTAGTGAAATCTTCAGTTGTGGTACTGACAATCAAATAACACGTTTATCTGACCATGACTTTTCAGTGTGGGAGGGATTCCAGCTCGCAATGCAAAAGGAGATAGGTTGCTCATCTACATTGGCATCATCGATATTCTCCAGTCCTACAGGTAGGTGTTTTGGGATTTTGAATGAAATCTTTATTAAATACCCCTGTTATCAACTGAGAAAAGAACAAATCAAGGGTAAACATGCATGTACATTGCACTGAGTAGTTTTATTGTTGTTTATACGATTTAGATTTATTAAGAAGTTGGAACATTCTTGGAAAGCTTTGGTCCATGATGGGGTAAGAGTTGAACTGTGTTATATACTGAATTTAAAGTATCAGTGCAAAGCAGACTAACGAATAACACTACTGAAGACATTATAAATAATTGTTCACAAATAAAAGCAGTCGTTGAAAACTTATGTTTTATACTTGAAAGATATTCTATGTCTCATGTTGTAATATTGTTGCCGTGCCCTTTTTTAGGACACTGTTTCAGTTCACAGACCCGGCTTCTATGCAGAACGTTTCCAACAATTTATGTGCAGCACGGTGTTTAAGAAAATTCCACGTAAGTATGCATACATGTCCTGAAGCACGCTGAATAATCCAGGTAAAAAAAAAATTAGGTCCTCTGGACATATTCTTTGGAAGAATCTATGAAGAGGACCTGACTTAACTTTTTAGATTTGCATACATTTGTTTATTCACATATTAAAAGTGTGTTACATCTGAGGTTTGAGTCAATCATAATCTTCTGGCTTATTTCATTTTCCAGTTAAGCCATCTCCATCTAAGAAGAGCCGAAGCGGAGGTCAAGGAGGGCTTAGAAGGGCCCCCACTCTGGGGGCTCCCACCCCACTCTCCCACACAGGAGGACAGTATTCTGGCGAATCCAGATTAGTTTATCACAGTCATTTTAGAAGCACAGAGTCAGAGGCTGACAGTGGTAAGAGTCGATCTTTCGCTATTTGTGCAATCACACAAAATAAATCTGTGAATTATCAGCTTACATATCTATTCATGTCTGTATCCAGATGTAACTTTCAGTAATATTTGCTTTAATTTTCCTCCTTTTATTTATATGTCTGTTAAAAGACAGACATATTATGGGATAATCTCCATCCATTCGTACATAAACTTTCTCTTGTCCTGCCCATAACATGATCCGCCCAAGATAATTTAACGTGTTGCATTTAATGTGAACTTTTCATCAGCTTCAAGGTCAAGATCACAAGTCAAAGTTGGATTGTATACAAGGTCTTTGCTTGTCTGGGCCATTGCTATAGATCGCTGTATAACAGCTCGTCAACAGGCGTATCACGTGCCGTATGTGGTGTTCTTGTTAACAGGCGTTCAGTTGGACAAGCCAGATCTGGTTCCAAGAACTCCTCCACCATTTGACAACCCTGCTGATGTGGAGGGCAACCTGTCCACCTCATCACTGGGCAGCACAGGAGTTTCCGCCACCTCTCCTCCACTACGGTAGAATCCTCACACCCTAATCATACTTTTGCACTGTTTTTACTTCGTCTGGTCTGACCATGACCGTCCTCTGCAGGTCCGTTGGCGTGGAGGTGCACAAATCAGCAAACACAGACCACGACCAGGGACCCTCTCATAGGTAAACTAATACAGACTAGACCTGTTATAGAACTATAAATGCCTACTTTTTATCTCTTTTTAAACTAATTCTCTAAAAAAATCCATTAAAAACTGAAGGTTTGCTTTACTTTGTATTATACTGTATTGTAATATGATAAATAAACAAGAGTCTTCATTAGGCACTCATAGAAAACACAGACCTCTCACTGCAGCCTTTTTTAATCCAGGTTAATTTTTTTAACTTTTTACTGCCCACATTCAGAAAAGTTTTCACATGTTCTAAGTTATTGACGCATCGGTTTTCAACACGTTTTGTTCTCAAGTTCCTGTGGTGTCGTGTAAAGTGTCAAACAAAAGTTGGGGGGTGCTTTTGAAAAATATCAAGAAAGTTCATCTCTAAATCAGACTTACAAAAAATATTTTTTAATACAGACATAAAATTTTGGCGGTTAATGGCTTCACTGAACTGGTTTATTGGAACTTTGTCAATGGGGGGGGGGGACTTTTTTTAACTCAAGAAAACCTAGTATTTTACAAGGATCTTTTATAAGTATGCAGACTCGATTTTGATGTTTTGTGGTGAGTGTGTGAGAAGAACACGCGGTGTTTGGTTTTTTTTTGTCCCCTTGATTGTGTAAATCACATCAGCCTGTTAATTACACTTTCTTTGTGCCAGTTTTGGGGCAGAAGGATCTGCTGAGAATTCAGGTAACCTGTCTGGAAATGAAGATGTAGTTTCTCTGACGGACATCATCCCAGAGACTAACCTCTAATTTGTAAGTCCAAATTAATATTTTAAATGTTATCACTGAAGCAGCCGGTGTTTGTTTACAAACTTGTTACTGATGGTAGTTTCCATTTTACAGTGAAGAAAAACAAAAGAAGCTGACCTGGTGCCATCTATGAAGAAGAGGCACCTCTGGATGTGATGAGAAGGACAGCATGAATGAAATTCATCAATCCAAAGCTCTTGATTGCACCCACATTGTTTTTTTCACCACTGCAGTATAAACAGGAGCTAAGTGGTGGTAGAGAGTTTACAAAATCAACGAGAGCAGGGATGAGAATACAGGATGCGGTAGACTTCATCAACCCTGTCTCTGTCCACATTTGTCCACACCTGTCCCAAAGAACTTTTTAGACCCTAAACATGGCTGCTCTGTTGTAGCTGCAGCAGTGTCACATTAAATAAAAAATAGGGGCTGTATATTGTCCCTCATCAACACTGGATGATGAGGGACCAGCCCTGTCTACATCATGAATAGACGTGCGTAGGCAGAGACATTTCAACAGGAACTCACTCACTTCAGAGCACATGAAGGGCGTAGCCTCAATAGATCGGTGAACTGTTTGCTTTCTGTGAGTGCGTTCACGTTTCTGTGACCTAATGCACCGCTCATGCTCGTACATCTCCCCATCAAGGAGACGACCCTGAACCGACGGTGTAATTATTAGAAATCGTTCAGTCAACACTTGCTGCTGTCAGCTTTGCAATCAAGTATGCATTCTTCTCGTTTAAATACAGTATTTGTTCAAAGTTCAGTTTTGAAAGGATAGCAAATGGGTTGAACCGAACCCGACGAGCTTGTTTTGTTTCATGTTTTAAGTTATTCTCGTGGAAGTCACAGTGACATTACCCAGATCTCGCCACTGTCGAATGTATATCACGTTTTGCATCAAATGTTTCTTATTAAAACGGCAATCCACATTTATAAAACCCTGAACATCTCTCCCACTAATGTGGCTGTACGTGTTGAGTATGAAATACAGAGCAAAGAGTTCTTTAAAGTAGTGCTGGACAATAGATGCTGTTACATTTTTTATTAGTATAAGTGTTTAATTTATTATCCGTTACGTTTGTGTTTTTCCCCGTGTTTCTTGCATATAGTTGACATTAGTGCGTTAGCTGCGCATAGAAACTTGCCTTATCACTACTGCTGAAGTCATCAAACTTCCACTTGTTTGTCTGAACCAGCTGATCAGTTCTGAAGGTTTATAGGCATTTCAAATTTCAATTTGAACACTAACGCTACCACCTACCTGATCATCACTAATCTGATTTATCAGCACGGCTATAAAAAAATCCCTCGACGTCAGCGAGGATGTCTAAATAATTTCTGCTGGTTACAGAAATGACATTTGCCCTTATTAATTCTTGGACCAATATCACTTAAAGTTGAATGTGTTGAAGGTTATTTTATTGTTTTTTACTTCAGTATTTATGCATTTCCTTCTAAAATCACTTGCTTATTATTTCATACCTAGTGACTGTAGCAAAACTTGACTTCATCTCATCTTCGGATTCTTTTTGTTACATTGGGAAGCACACGTGGTCTATGCAGCAGAGAGGGAAAGTGAGTTAATAACAATAATACATTCATTAATGCACAGAGGTGAGGACTTTAGAACTGAGTGTTTGGTACTCTGAACAAGTACTAGCGCCAAAGAGAAAAGCCAGTAGAACTGAGTTTTGTTGTTGTTGTTGTTTTGGCATGGTCAGCTTGATGTGATGCACTCCTACATGGACTGATGGGTTGTCTATGCTAAAAACACTGGGTTGACCTGTGTTTTAATGGTCTGTCACGAAACTGGATGTTTGCTTTTTTTGTTGAACAATTTCATTTTTGAGGGGGTGAGTGTTTTGACTTTAATTTATTTGTCAAACATATTATTTCAAAACTTAACCCTACATTCCTAAAATAAAAACATTTATGTACTACATTTGTATAAGCAGAGAATAATGGACGGATGGACAGACTGCATTTGTAGTGGCGTTTTGAACCTGCTATTTATCACCTTTTATGCTTTAGGTGTTTCTGGTATTAAATAAAAATGTTAAATATTGTTCATTTCAAACTCCAGGTGAAAACTCTTGAGAATCTGAGTCTGATAAAGTAAAAAAAAAAAAAAAAAAAATCCAGTTTGTTTGGTGACACCAGGAGTTATTTTTTGGGGGTAACTTTTTAAAAATAGTGGTTAGTTTTGGATGCAGAGCTGAGTTGGATTTGTACCACATCATAGCACAAGAAAAACATCCTTTGGTGCTCTAAGGGTGCAGGCAGCTGTAAACACTACAGTGATATGGAAGTAATGCAATATGAGTCTGCCACCTGTCAGCCTGAAGCTATATTTATTATTCTGACTGATTTCTGTAGGCTGAGATGATAAAAGTTGTATGATTGTAAACGAACTATACTGACAGAAGGATGTCTGCAACTTTATAGCTTATATTGCCTATAAAGAAGGACTATTTGACAATTTCACCTTTTTATATTTAACGTTTAGATTGTGATATGATGGCTATATACTCTCCATGACATTTTCTGGATGGTTATTCTTCCATTTTTCTACATGAATGTTTCACATGGCTTATGAGCCAGTGTTGCTGGTTGTTCTATATGCTTCAATCGCTATATTTTTACAGTGTATGAAATGTGTATATGTACATATAAGTCACAAAAATGCCTTCTCATACAACATGAACTGCCTGTTCCTCCTGCCATGATTCAGTTACAGTATGTGGTGGTGATGTTTTCATGTCTGATTTTAAAGAAATAAAAATACTTTCTAAAACGTTGTTTTGATGTGTTACATACTACTATTACTATTACACGTTGAAGACCTGATCATCTTGTGGAGTTTTCCAATTATTCATGTCCTGGGGTGAAGTTCTTGTCTTCCACACAATGACCAGAGTGACAACATAGTCCCGGATGTGGATCTGAGCAATCGTAATGAAAAAATCATGCAAATATTGATTCTGAGAAGTGACTCATAAATGATTGGTTACCATCAAAAACTACCACCACAAGAGAACGTGCTTCAGAACGGGGCTATATCAGGTCTTTGTAGGATTTTGCTGAATTAGCCTTTTTTTTGTGACCTATACTAGAAGGACTTCTCTTTGTTACTTTACATCTACTGAAAAACAAATTGGGCCTGTTTTATTGTTCTGTCCTCCACTTATCACTCCAGTTTCCTTTAGTTTTTCTTATTGACAAGATGCACACCAGGCTAAGATTTACCCTTTTTGCTAAAAAGTTTTTAAGAATCAATTTATTGTTGCAGAACTACAATTTTATGCTTAAATGTTGATTCAAACCATTTTTGAAAGTTTGTTGTTAAAAAAAAGTATCAAGACTTTTGCACAGTAAGCTAGCTTCATATTACTGTACCTAAAAATAATAATGAACTTAAAGTTTTATCCAGGTCTCTTGTGAATGAGTCCTCGACGCTCAATGGGATAAATCAAGGTTGAATGAAAGTTGTAACTGTAACTTTAAATAAAAAAAACTTCATTACCCAGTAACCATCGCGGAGCACGTAGACGTAAACGACAAAATCAAGATGGTGCTTGAAAGTACTATGGTTTGGTAAGGAATTAGAATTTTGTGTTTAATTTTAAAAGGAATTATAAAGTAATTTAACATATTTAAGGCTCTCACATAAAGATAGTAAATACATTTATTTAAAACGGTCTTTGTTTAACACAAAAATGTTGTTTTTCGCTGTTTTCCACTTCAATTGTCCTGAGTCACTCCACCGGCGTAGCCAGACGCTAGCAGCTAACCTTCATTTTTATGCTTTATTTTTAATTTTTTGCCCTTTTAACAACTTGTTTGTTTTACGGTCATCGTGTTGATATTGTTTGTAGCCAAACGTTTAAATATCCCAAAAGTAAATTTAGGGTTGCGTCTGTCTCTGAATGAAAACGTGTTTTTAACCCTTTAGCGTTAGCTAGCTCACTAAACCTAAACCTGCTTTCTCCCTCAAAACATCAGGTCACGTTCAAATCTTATTTTTCTTAGTACTCGCAGATCACTATATTATTTGAATGTCCCAAACAGTTTAAACGTTTTAAATATTTTCCAAAAAAGGTGCCTCTATTGTTCAGTTTCCATGATCTTGCCTGTGATGTCAATATACATCAATCAACCTTTATTTATACAGGTAAATCCCATTGAGCCTCGAGGACTCATTTACAAGAGACCTGATTTCAACAAAGAAAGATGACAACAATGGACAACAGCAACAACAATAAGCAGTTATAAAAACTCATACTACAGTTTTTTTTTTATTTTTTTTTTTTACAAATAGGATGGCTAAAAGGAAAAAGGTAACAAAACCAAAAAAACTGCTAGATTCCGAGACAAATGTATAAAACTAAAAACAGGAACATGTCTGCATTGGTCCCTGCCAGGAGTCCAACAGATTCTTAAAGCCACTTAGAGAGGTCAAGGTCAAGAGCTTCAAATCTTTTTGTAAGATATTCCAGGAAACAGGAGCGGAGTACGAGAAGGCCCTTTTGCCTAGTTCAGTCCTCACTGAGGGAACACAGCAGGTAATAATGTCCTGAGAGCGCACTCCGTAGCTGCACTCACGCAGAGACATGTAGGAGGAGATGTATGAAGGCAGCAGACCAAGAAGTGATTTAAAGATGAAAATGTACCAGTGAGAGAGTCTGCGTGAAGTTAATGATGTCCAGTTAACCAGTGAATACAGGGTGCAGTGGTGGGTACGATAATCACAGCCAGTTATGAATCTTAGTGCACCATGATAGACAGCATCCAACATCTGCAGGGTTCTTGTAGGAGCGTTCATGTAAATAATATCACCAAAATCAATTGAGGGAAGGAAAGTCACAGATACATACATAGCATTACATTGTGATTTTCCCAAAGGCTATTCAGGTCTCGTCCAGTCACCAGATCAAGATTCAAAAAGTGTTAAATTTACATCGAAAAATAGTTTATATTTATAAAGGGGACCAAATAAAATGGTTCGCTATAAATCAAGAGTTTATGGACCATATTGTCCAACACTTTTACATTTATTCAGAGCTCTATTAGCTTGGTGTCTGGTTGGGAAAATAATTTTCTACACTCCAACTAAATTAAGTCAGGTCCTCTGGATGGTTTCTTTGTGTTGAAAGTACATTTCATCTTTCAGCCAAAAGATTTATCAGTCCGAGGAGCCACAACAAACTCAGTCCCATAAGTAGCACACTAACGTATTGGGACAATTTGATGGTGATGAGATGGTTTCTGCGGCCCATCTCTCCCACGTCGACTTGTCTGAGGCAGCCATGGCCAAAGTAGTTCAAAACATCCAAGTTCATGCTCAACAATCCAGGTAAAAGGTTGTCACTATCTGAGTGTGCTGCTTATGGGACTGAGTTTGTTGTGGCTCCTCGGACTGATGAAGTCTTTTGGATGAAAGACGAAACGTTTCAACAAAAAAGAAACCATCCAGAGGACCGGACTTAACTTTGTTGGATTTTTTTTAACTTGGATTATTGAGCATGAACTTTGATGCAATTTTCTATACTACGGTATTTCATTAGCACTTCTCTTTAGCCTCAGTGGAATAAGTCTTGGAAGTTGAGGGAAAGTGGTTGGAAAAATTAAAAACAGGAAAATAACTTTTGTACGATCAAACTGTTGAGCACTTTGCACTTTTTGTCATGTTGTGATGTGGCTCTGCAGTACTGAAACAGCACAAAATAATCTATAAACTCCATTTTTAGTGTTCATCTACAGCATTGTGACTAAAATTTGACCAATCTATATTATTTAAGGATTTCCCCCCTGTAGTTAATGATGTTTTACACTGCTTTTTGTTTCTTTAGTGTGGACAACAGTGAGTATATGAGAAATGGAGACTTCCTGCCCACTCGGCTGCAGGCTCAGCAGGATGCAGTTAATATCGTTTGTCATTCCAAGACTCGCAGTAATCCAGAAAACAACGTGGGCCTCATCACCATGGCAAAGTAAGAGTCACTGTATTTGTGCTCTTGACATTTAAAGTCGTCCGTTTTAACACCACTGTTCTGTCCGCGTGCAGCAACTGTGAGGTGCTGACCACACTGACTCCGGATACAGGGAGGATACTGTCCAAGCTGCATGCCGTGCAGCCTCGAGGCAACATTAGTTTCTGCACTGGCATCAGGGTGGCACATGTGAGTCTGTGATTTTCATTTGCAGTGAGTGTTCCCTGCAGGACAACAGTAGAGGAGCAGGGGGGAAATTTAAGATTTGTAGATTGCTCTGATAAATTAAAAAACATAAATACGGAGGAGGTTCAAGAATAAAATAATGCAAAATTTTATTTAAGACAAAGTTTAGGTTTAACTAACCTGTGTGCCTTATGTAGCAATGCAGTATGAATGCAAAACAAGTGATGTCAGTGCAATACGGCTAAATCACATAACATAAAATATCTGCATAAAAATGTATTGTAATGTTTTTTTGGTGACATAGTGAAATTTCACAATTTTATTACTTTCTATTGTCTGTTTCTCTCTGTAGCTGGCTCTGAAGCACAGGCAGGGCAAAAACCACAAGATGCGCATTATTGCATTTGTTGGCAGCCCAGTGGAGGACAACGAAAAAGATGTGAGTTAAGTCCTGACTGAAGTTCCAATGGTATTTATCGTTTTACTTTACCAACAGTGGATTTGACCATTGCTAAAAATCAGTCACTTAAGATGGTGTCTCACTGCACTGCGACTATTGGTGAAAGGCATTCACAAGTAGTACTGTCAAACCGTTTGCAGGGTTCTCCATTTTCTCAAGTGAGTTGCAGACGCTCACAGGCTGCACTTCAATTTTGAGCACAAAAAAAATGTGGCTAATTTTCTCTCAAGATAGTCACAAAGTTATCTCAATCCTTTCTTGTGACTTCTTTATTTTTGTTTCTACAAATACTAGTTTGGTAGAGCTCTATTTTGACACCTGCAAAGGAGCTCCTTTTATGACAAAACATCTGAGGCTACAGCCTTGAATGTCCAAAAAAACACACACACTCTCTCTGGTGGGCAGCAATAATAATTAAAAACAGGTCCAAATCTGCCTGCTTTCATTTCTAAGTGTACTCATACTTATAAACCTGCTGTTGGCTGTCACGATGGGTACAAAGCAGGCCAAAACAGATACAATGTGGGTGGAGATGTGCAACAAAATAATATGCACAGCCTAGAATATAGTTTTTTAAACTGTATGCAAAATTAAAAAACTCATCTTTCTTTTTGTTTACAAATTAAAAGGCACCAGGCATCCAGTACATGCCAGACTGGTTGCAACAACTCTGAATTCAGAGAGATTTTAACCATCAATGCCAATTTTGAGTTGCCATCAGTCGCAGCCCAGTGAGGCCTTTATCACGTCTAGCTCAGTGCTTCTCAATTGTTTTCTGTTATGGCATTAGTGTTGCTTTTTTATATTCCAACTTTCTGGATAAAAACAGTTTTTGCATGAACTGAAGTATTTTTTTTCCTTGCAGTTGGTCAAAATGGCAAAGCGTTTGAAGAAAGAAAAAGTCCATGTGGATATCATTAACTTTGGCGAGGAGGTAATTATTTGTCGAAGCTCTACAGACGCTCAGCATCTTGAGGATCCTGCGTGTTGGTGTTTGTGGTGTTTGGTCTCTTCCTGATTCTTTTTGTCCTGCAGGAAATGAACACAGAGAAGCTGACGACCTTTATCAACACGCTGAATGGTAAAGAGGGAGCAGGCTCCCACCTGGTCACGGTACCTCCAGGGCCCAGTCTGGCTGATGCCCTGCTGTCTTCACCCATCCTGGCAGGGGAAGGAGGCGCCGCGTTGGGCCTGGGTGCCAGCGACTTCGAGTTTGGAGTGGATCCTAGTGCAGACCCCGAACTGGCACTGGTAAGAAAACATTGAGGAATTATACACAATTTTTAGTTATTTGCTTTCAATTTCCTGCATATGTGGCAAAAATAACTTCCAGGGTTGATGTATTTTATTGTTGTTTACTTTTTATTTTAGGCTCTTCGTGTGTCCATGGAGGAGCAGAGACAACGGCAGGAGGATGAAGCTCGCAGAGCAGCTGTAGCATCAGCAGCTGAAGCCAGCGTCTCCTCTCCTGCAGCAGACGGTGAGAAAACTCACTAACTGGAGTTTCTTTTTGTCGTTTCAGCTCGCTCCTCCCAGTATGATAAACAAATGGGAAGATGTCAAAGCTACAATTGTTTTTTTTCTTTCTACCTCAGAGTCGGATGATGCCCTGTTGAAGGTGTCTGTTCCACAAATGGACTCGACCACTCCTGCTCTGCCAGACTTCAGCCGCATGACGGAAGACGAACAGATCGCCTACGCTCTGCAGATGTCCATGCAGGGAGCAGGAGCAGGTGAAAATTCATCTTCGTTCTTTTAGATTTCCGTTGAACTGCATATTAATATTCCAGCTTTCTGTTTTGCTTGACAATGTTGGTTTGTGTGTGCACTGAACAGAAATGAGGAGTGAGTGTTTTAAATGTGGCTAAAACTGAAAAATGGACCTCGGCTGAAAAAGTGATAGAAAATGTTGGCATTTCTGCGTTTTAACGTTTTAAACAATTTTATTTAAGAGCAGCTTGTCAAAAATGACCAAGGTTGAATTTTTTTTTTTACCAAGTTTATGTAAATATATATTTTATATATATTTATTTGCTCTGCATTAATTATCTTTTTTCTCCTCCCATCAGAGTTTGGTGCTGAGGACATGGACACGGGCGGTGATGTGGATCCCAGTGAGACTAAGGTCCGGACTCTCTGCGTTAATGTTAAATGTGTTTTTAAATTAAAAACTACTAGTTGCTAATATTCTTATTGTCTTTGTGTGTAGGATGAAGAGGACTATGACGTGATGCAGGATCCAGAGTTCCTTCAGAGCGTTTTAGAAAACCTTCCTGGGGTCGACCCCAACAATGAGGCTATCCGTAACGCCATGGGCTCTCTGGCTTCCCAGGCAGGCTCGAAACCAGACGCCAAGAAGGACGAGGAGAAAAAGAAATGAGCATCGAGAAAGAAATGTTTGATGTACTGTATGATGAATAAGAGATCTGAGAGTTGCACAGTAAGAATGCTTCTCTTCCCAGCAGAGAACAAGTCTTCTATCTTTTCTTTGTTTCTCTGTAAACTCTTATGACCTGAACTTTTCTTTTCTGTGTCAAGCGCATGTGCTCGAGTTTTCTTTTTGTAATATAACTTCTCAGCAATATAAATAGGCTTCTTCAATAAATTTACAAAAAAATTTTTTGAATACTTAGTTACTTGATAATTGTCTGTTCAAACCTTTTGCAAAGCGTCAGTGCATTTTGCATGAAAGTGAACTTCTAGTGCTCCTTAAGCATCAGTGAGTGAAACCACACATTTAAATGTGAAATTTAAAGGTATATGAAATGACGTAAGCTCAATTAATGGAATGTTTTCACTGAAGTGCTGCATACACACCAGGTACTTGGAATTATTCACTTTTAATTCTTAGCTTGTTGAATATAGCACCCAATTTCATTTATTTCAGTTTTTGTCACAAGATGTGGACAATATTTAACATACTGAGTCAAGTTCTAATTTAGAAAAGATCAAATTGCAAAATTTATATAAATAAACCTAATTTTGCTATTATAGCTATTAATATTTCAAAACTGATTTGCCAGGTTTGTCTTTGAATAATTGTGATGGGAAGTTTTCGAGCTGTTTCTGAACACAAACACTCATTTGAACTTGAATCAACAGCTCAAAAAACATTGAAAATCTCAGCGAATGTGTCTTGGGCAAAACTGTTTCTTAATCAAATATATAAATGACTGATTCTGAACGAACGTCATCAAAATAATGCAGTTTAATAACGAATCGTGCATTCAGTAAAAATGTAACGGTTCGCACAAATCTCCATGTTTGATCGCAGCCGCCGTCGCAAACTTGTCGACACCAAACTTGTGCGACCGAGAGGAAAGTCGAACCAGCTTTGCTAACTGGCAGGTAAATAATATACCACACCTCTTCGGTTTGAGCGAACTCAACGCGTATTTAACAAGACATATTAGACCTTCAATAACCGAGAGATTCAGCAATTAAAGTTCATGTTTTCACGGTTTTTCAGGAGGTTCGTTTTTTTTTACCATTAGCATAGCCAACTAGCATGTTACCGCTAACTAAGCTAGCCGTTAGCCGCCACTTGTTGCAGCGTGACAGTAAAGTTTTGACGTTACTCTGGACTTTTAGCTCCATGTCATCTTGTTTATTTTGCATCAAACGAGTCTGCAAATAAAGAATCCAAAGTGTGTTTTCTTCCGTGTAGATATTTTCCCGAGGCTAACGTAAGAGCAGCTGTTGGGTTTAAGTTATCGCAGCGCTGCCATCAGTGACTCATCTGTTGCCTTCCCAGGTTTAGAGTCTCTCCGCTGGCAATGGGGGACATGAAAACCCCGGATTTTGATGACTTGCTTGCAGCGTTTGACATTCCTGACATCGATGCGAAAGAGGCCATTCAGTCCAACCCAGAGGTGCACCGGGATGAGCAGGGTCCTCACAGTGAGCCATCTGGGGTCAGCGTCATTGTGAAGAACACAGTTCGACCAGAGTCTTCTGAACATGAAGAGAAGCCTGTCGGGGATAAAACAGGCAGTCCGTTAAGTGCCTTGGTCTCCCAGGTTCCTGTGAAGTTGCAGGACCTCACCTCGGATCTTGGTCCCAAGCTGTCAGCTAGTGCTACCATGGAGCCTCGGATAACCAATGGCTTTGAAGAGATAGAGTCCAATACACAATCATGGTCCCAGAGTTCTCCTTTTGGGTCCACAACCAGTGACCACAATGCTGCTGGTCCCACTTCATCATCCGCTCCTTCAGCACTTCCTCACCTTTCACCTCACGCACCTCTGAATGTTGAAGCGGATCCTCCTGGTAACCCATTGCCCCCCTTGATACAAAATGCAAACCTGGACACTGAAATCAAGCACATCATAGACGAAGATGAAGATGACTCTGAACCAGATTTAGGAAGTCCACTGGTGATTCAGGAGAGCCCAGAATCCGGAACATCTTCCCCTCCCAAATTTAAACGCAGAGCAAAATTACATCTTGATCAGCTGGGGTCCCATGAAGATACTTCTTGTCTTGTTTCTCCTCCACCTGATCTCTCATCACCAAATAAACTAAAAACTCAGCATGAAGATGGCAGAGAGCCTTCTGCCCCCAGCTCTCCCAACACATCTCTACAAAAATGCCAGGACCTCCTCTCGCCAGTCAGCACAAGCTCAGCAGTGGTCCAGGAGGAGAAATACCCAGAGCATGTAATCGATGAGAGAGACTCACCTGAGAGCCCACCTCCCAGTGAGACTGGTCTTGTGTTCACCACCAGAAACAGCAGCCCAGGTTCAGTCTCCATTTTGAATCAGGAGAAACTAAATCACCAAGAGGAGCTCGTTCAAGGTGAGTACAGTCAAGAGGAGAAGGCAGGAGACACCGAAGAACGGAGTGAAAGCATGGCAGAAGAAAAAGTAAAAACAAATGAGGTGAACTGCAGTACTGCTAGCGAGGATACAGTGGCTTCAAGTGTTGCAGAGATGGTTTCCTCTCCACTCAGGCCACTCAAAGTTAAAATCAAAATGCCTACTGGGAGCATCACAAGAACCGTGACTGGTCTGCCACCTAAAAGGAGCGGAAAGGCCACTGCAAAGGAAGTGGACGGTGCAAAACCTTCATCAGAACACCAGAACGCAAAGTCCAAAAAGGAGCAGTCGGATTTACCAGCAGCAGCAATTCCAGATGCTGCTGATGCAGGTAAAGAGAAGTCCTCAGTGGAGACCAAGACCAAAGTGTCCCCAACAGCAGTGAGCATCACAAAGACTGCAGCACTGCCCTCCGTCTCCTCCTCCAGGACCAGTCCGGGTGCAGTCAACCTGCGCAGTCTGGGGCAAAAAACTCTCAACAGCGGGATGACCACTTTAACTCAGCACCCAGCTCTAACCAGCAACAGACCTGCTTCTATAGTCAACAGCACGGGGGCGATCATTTCAAAGAGCCAGACCAACCTGGTGGAAGCCTTCAACAAAATCCTCAACAACAAGAACCTGCTGCCCAGTTATAAACCAGATCTGAGCTCTGCTCTTCCAGCCGAGTGGGGCCTTTCTCTCCCGGCACAGGTGAGAGCTTTCATCAAGTATATTCTGAAACGCCTGAGCAAATGCAGTTGTTCTAAATTATTCCAGCTTTTACTTTTCTTCAAGAAAGAAAAAAAAGCGTAAGTCTCAAATCAGTGCGTGCAAAGAACATTACAAAAATAATATATATTTAATTGGTTTTCAAATCCACATAAGATTATTAGCCTCAGAATCTGATCTGAGGTCTGTGTGATCGGCTGCAGGGTTATCGCTGTCTGGAATGCGGTGATGCCTTTGCCTTGGAGCAGAGTTTGGCGCAGCACTACGACCGGCGCTCGCTGAGGATCGAAGTGACCTGTAATCACTGCGCCAAGCGGCTGGCCTTTTTCAACAAGTGCAGCTTGCTTTTGCATGCCAGAGAGCACAAGGAGCGAGGCCTGATCATGCAGTGTTCGCACCTCGTCATGAAGCCTGTACCTGTGGACCAAATGATCAGCCAGCAAGAACCAGGAGCAGCAGGTGAGGAAACATCTAGTTATTTTTTTTATCGTTATTTATAGGAGATATTTGCTGTGTACAATGTTTTAATATGTTTATTTAAGTCTGCTTTGTTTCTCTGCTTTATTTTGTCTTTTCAGCACCGTCATCGTCCGTTTCAGGTCAGTCCAGTTTGAAACAAGCTCCTCAGCCACATCAAGCAGCAGCTGCTAAGAAAGACGCAGACTTGGTGCAGTACTCGAGTAATAAATGTCCCGAGTGTCAGGCGCAGTTTGGCAGCAAAGAGGAAGTTTCTGACCATTTCCAAGAAATCAAACTGGCTCACAGCACTGTAAGTTGTGCACACACACACGCACACACACACACACACACACACACTCTTTTAGATCTTAAACATCTGCCTATTTCAGACTTTGCATGTTTTTATTTTGGTCTCACAATTCCGCATATTTTATGTTCATAAATATTTTGCACATTTATTTTTACGTTTCTAACTTGTGGGAACTATGTAAACGTGTCAAAAAACTTTACTCTGAAACTTTCAAGCTTTGACTGCTGCCGTGGTAATTTAGGTTATTTGAAATGGTTTTACTACATAAAACTCCAATCAACCTATGAAATAAGAAAAATGTAATGTAGAATTATTCTTTTCTTTCATGATGATGCATTTCTGAATTATTCTGCAGAACGACTGGGTTGTTTAATCTTAATCTGTCACAGATCTTGTTTACTGTCATCAGCATAGACTGAGGCAGGGTCCTGCTTAAAGAGGCATCACAAACAGGAAGACTGTCCTAAAGTTAAACATCTTGACAGTGTCAACATTTGACTTGTAAAAACAAACACCGTCACTGTTGTTTTGCTTATGTCCTGAAAATCGTACGGCTTTTAATTTTTAGTTTTGCAGCGGATGTGATTGCTGAAGTTTTCATAACATTGCCGATACGTCCATCATCTTGTCTCCGAAGGTTCATTTCTTCACTAATTATTTTTCTGCACATCCTCAATAGTCACATTTCAAACAAACCTAGAAATGTCACGTTTCGTCACGATAAATGAGCACCAAGTGATTTCCTATGTTTGTCTTCTTTTTTCTTCTTCTGCGGTTTAGTCGTGCACAGAGTGCTCTCCTCCCATGCTCCTCCCCAACAGCTGCAGCGCAGCAGCACATCAGCGCAGCCACCAGGGCAGCCCACCACACATCTGTCCAGAGTGCGGGGGCACGCTCAAGCAGCCTCAGTTTCAGAAGCATCTGCTCGAGACTTGTTTGCACTTTTCTCGCCGCATTGGGTACAGGTACGACACCACGCGGTGTGAATAAACTGAGGTATACTGTGCTGTGAAACCAGTCCCATTTCTATATATTTTCTCTGCAGATGTTCCAGCTGCCTCGTCGTGTTTGGAGGGCTGAACTCTGTGAAGTCTCACATCCAACAGGCTCATTGCGACATGTTCCACAAGTGTCCCAGCTGCCCCATGGCCTTCAAATCTGCCCCCAGCATTCAGAGCCACATTACATCTCAGCATCCCGCCCTCACTGGTGGACAGGCTATGTACGTATACAGAACACAAATGTGCTTGAATACATTGTTTTACTCTAAATAAACTCTCCCGATCTTATTTCTTTTACAGGCTAATTTATAAATGTGTCATGTGTGACACAGTTTTTACACACAAGCCGCTGCTGTACTCCCACTTTGACTCTCATTTAACCAATCAGAAGGTGCACGTCTTCAAATGCCCTGAGTGCATCAAGCTGTTTTCTCAGAGAAACTCCCTGCTGGATCATTTCAAGGTATACCTGTGGCTAAATATTCAAATGGAAACACAACATATAAAACAGCTGTTAGATCTTTTTTACTCTCTGTTTTTCAGACCCACAAGACTCGCCTGTCAAAAGTAGAGCAGCCTCCTTCTACAGCTGCTTCCTCACGTGTTTCTGTGAAATTAGAGAGCTCAGAAGAAGAAAGGATGGATAAAGAGAAAGTGAAGACTGAAAGGATGAAGACCCCTTCGGGGTGGAAGTGTCGTTCTTGCAACACGCCGTTTACAGAACGGGAAGACTACATCGCTCATATGAGCCAAGAGCATGGCAAGGTCTGGAAGCCATCTGCAGTCAAAGTCTTACTAGTAAAACTATAAATGGATGGGTGGGGCCAAGTTGTGTATTTATGTTTGTGTTTTATTATGTAGACGTTAAAGAAGTTTCCCTGTAACAAATGTGAGAGCTCCTTCACGACCACTTCCAGTATGGGGCGCCACATCAGAGATAAGCACAAAATCATGACTCGAGGCTTCCGCTGCCAGTAAGTGTTCAGTTGTACTCATTTCTTTGTTTTAAGCAACGCCGTTTCCAAAGAAAAAACACAACAACATCTAAATAGTGTAACATTTAACAGCAGCTCTGCATGGAGAACAGACACATATCTGTAGTGAAAATCACTGCAGAAGTATTTTTTTTTTATCTCTTTCTGCACCTCCAAATCTGAGTCCACAGTCGGACAAAAGTGTGGACTGCCCTCCGGGTTTGGAGTGAGGTTCTGCCTGAAGTGGTAGAGTTCAAGTATTGTGGAGTTTTGTTCACGAGCAGGAAACTGACAAACGAATCGGTGTAGCATCTGCAGTATTGTGAACTCTGTGCTGGTCCGTTATGGTGACGAGGGAGTTGAGCTGTAAGGTGAAGCTCTCTGTTTACATGTCGGTCTATGTTCCTACCTTCATCTTTGGCCACAAACTCTGGGTAGTGAATGAAAGAACGAGATCGTGGATACAGACAGTTGAAATTAATTTCCTCTGCACGTGAGCTGGACTCTTCCTTATGGTCCTTATGCATTGTCAGGCCTGACCTGACCTAGACTGGCCCGACCCGGGTTCTGCCCCAGGTTTTGAGTGTTGGCGTTGGACAGTCTGGCTCATTTCCAGCTCAACCTTCGGAACCTAGAGACCTGGAGTTTCATTCGAGCTGGGCTGGTGCTGCACATTTGATGCCAGCAGACTGCCGGCCATTGATTGGTTCGCCGGCCCGAGGAGGTCACATCACAGATGAGTCATACTTCCAGCGATTGCTCCTTACCACCATTTCCTTCAGCTATTTGCTTCTGGACAGTTTTGTGTGACAGAGAGAGCTCCTGTTTTTCCTTAGAGAAAATGGCAACGCAATAGATAGCACCAGTGGCCTGGAAAAATGACGAGGTGCAGTTATTGCTGAGCTGAGATTTGCGCGCCCTTAATGTAACGATCCCGCTCACATCGAGGAGTCGCTCTGCTGAAAGTGAACAAAACCAGAGGAAGACCGGGCTAGGCCGACTGGCTGGTACAGGTTTTATAACGCTTAAGAGTCATTAGAGATGGAGTGAGAAGTTCAGTTATCTGGAAGAAACTCGGAGTAGAGCCGCTGCTCCTCCACATCAAGAGGAGCCAGTTGAGGTGGTTCTAGGTATCTGGTAAGGATGCTCCCTGTGCACCTCCCTAGGGAGGTGCTCTGGGCATGTTCGAATGGGAGGAGACCCAAGACACACTGGACAGACCATGTCTCTTGGCTGACCTGGGAACGCCTTGGAGTCCTCCCAGAAGAGCTGGAAGAGGTGGCTGTGGAACGAGATGTCTGGACCTCCCTACTTTAACTGCTGCCCCCACGACCTGACTCAAGAACAAGCAGAAGATAAATGATGGATCTTACTGCCTTGATACATTTATATATATTAATATCATGTTCAAAATATATTTGTCTGTGTGTTGTCATGCAGCTGTAAAATAAAGCATAGAAATTACACATCAAAACATGAAGCTTGATTGAGAATAGCGTTCTATGACTTGTGGTGCACGGCTCAGCGTGGAGGTCCACGAGAGCTCAGCGGTCAGAGCTTGTAATCCTGAGGCTGCAGGTTCGAGCATCAGGAAGTCCATCCGGTGTAAAACAATGGCCAACTCTAGTGGGAGTTCACTCACTGTGGTCACGCCTGCAGAGCTGAAAGAAAAACACCAACGTTCATAACGCACACAAGATTTTCTAAAAGCTGCAAGGACATTTTTATTGGAGATGAGTAGGATTTTCGGGGGAACGGGTGATAAAACCAAGCCCTCTTTGGAGCTCTGCAGCTCAGGTGTATTTCACAGAAACATCATTCAGCAGGTCACACAGGAAGTTGGGTTTTTTATGACTGAACTGGCATTTTGATATATTTTATGGTTTTTACTCAAACCACAGTTCAAGTTTCATGATTTTCCACAGAATGTTCACTTGACAGTTGATGCCTGATCCCGTTTTTGAGCTGGTCTTAAAATGTGCAGGTCTTGTGCAAACAAACTTTTCTTACTCTCATAGCTCTTATGCTCATATGCAAACACTACAACAAACAGAGACGTTGTGGTCTTCCTTCACACAGCAGGTGTCACTGATAACTCCCACCAGAACACAGAGCATGTGCATCACTCTGTATTTCTGTCTGCCGCTCACTAACTTGGCAGTGATGAACTAATTTTGTAACTTGTAGGAAGAACTGACATGTAACATGTATGTTGTGTAGGTTTTGTTCTAACAGTAAGAAGACGTTCAGCAGCCGAGCGATGCTGGACAGGCACGTTCAGCTGAGACACAGCACGAGCAACACGGGCCAGGACACCCTGACGGTAAGACACCTGCTCCGTGCTCCTGCAGAGTCAACGCAGCAGCGTCTGTAAATTCATCTAACTGGTTTTAATGTCTGCGAACAGAGAGCCGACGACGCTGAGAGTTCCTCAGAACAGGATGGAGGTTTCAGGTCTCGGCGGAGACGTCGGGCAGCTGTGAAAACGGAGCGGGATGCAGAGTCCACAGACAGGACGAGTCCGGCAAAGAAGCTACGGTCCTCCTCCACTCCTGCTGGTCAGCCAGAGTCTGGGTTCAGCTGTGCTCCCTGTGGATTCACCACAGAGGACAAGGCAGCCTTCGCCGAGCACATCAGCCAACACAGGCGAGGAGGGACGGAGGGCGGCGATCTGCAGTGCGTGCACTGTGGCGCCTGCTTCACGTCCACGTCCTCCCTGTCCCGCCATCTGTTCATCACCCACAAAGTGAGGGACGAGTTCAGCGACGGCCAGCAAGATGTCGGCGCGCACCCGTCGACCTCCGTTAACTTCAAGAACCACGACGATAAGAGTTCCCTGAACGGTTCTGACTCGGCTTCACCCCCCACGGGTCAGGAGGACGGATCGTTCACCTGTAAGGTCTGCGGTAAACACTTTGAGAAGACCACTGACCTGAACACACACTTCAGAACTCACGGGATGGCTTTTATTAATGCAAGGAACGCAAGCAAAACCTCGTGAAGATAACACAAGTGTCTGATGTTCATGGAGGAAAAAAACTGTGCAAGTGCCTTTTTTCATACGTAGGTCACACACGTACTAAATAACCAAAGATTATTCATCTTAAACGTGTCAATAAATGTGTTGTAAAACAGTTCAATGTTCCTCTACTGTAAGATCAGCCTTAATGTTGACACTCAGGACTTGCTGCTGCGCTTCTCCATAACCATTCTAATGACATGAGAGCTACTTCCTGTTTACAGTTTGAGCTACTTCCTGTTTACAGTTTGACCACAGCATGGCCACATTCACATAATCATGAGTTGTGAATATTAATCTTCTCCCGCTGTGATTCTTTTGATTTTAGTCACTTAGACAACGGAGACTCAGGCGATGATGTCCTGTGAATTCTTGTTTTTAAAAAATGACTTCATCAGTTGAGATTTGTGGATTTAATAATTTCCTGACACATTTCTTAAAGCGTACCATTTTGTTTATCTCCTTCAGTTATCATCCTGATTATGTTTGTGTGTGAATCAAAGTTAGCTAAACTTACATTTTTATCATTCACCGTGAGTTTGGACACTTACAGTCCTGGTATTATATACAGATGTGGGTAAAAATGTGATTTATACTTGATTTGTTTGCCGTCACAGTTTTGATCCTTCAAGTTTTAAACGTGCGCACGTTTCTGATCAAACTGATCCGCACCTTTCTGGAAAACGTTAACGGTTTTGGAAATCAGCAATAATGTGACGTGTAAATATATTGTTTGTTAGGATAAAACTTTCTAAATATGTAAAACTTAACTCTTAAATGAAAGTACTTCATTTGCGTATAATTTACTGATTGGTTTCTTAGTAAATTTATAGTTTTTGTTTTGCAGGTAAACGTAGACGTTTTTCTTTATCAGATTACTGTAAACAAAATATTGGTTTAGTTGTACTTTTCCTGTGTACCTGAGGGAAATGAATACTTGTACTTGAGTTTTAGACGCTGTTAAAGTGTTGAAATTGTTTAGCAACGTTTTTTAATGGACAGAACTTCGTTACGTCAGGACTGTTCTGTACATATCCTATATTGTTGTGCTTCAAATATTTTTAACCTTTTTGTTTAAATTTTTTACAGATCATGTCACGCCTGATAAGAAGCCCGTTGTCTGTAAATTTTCACTTTTCTACATCAATGATATCCATAAACGTTGCTATTAAAATTAACTGTTCTTGTTTAAACTTTTAAAAGTAATCATCTTTAGGTGTTAGACTTTATAAACATCTTTCTAATCAAATGTTTCTGAATGAAAATAAAACTGGCACAGTGGCTGTTTATTAATAATCTTTGGGTTTATTTAATCTGTCCCCCTGCGTTTCATCAGCATGTTCTCTATTAACAAAGCAACAATTTTTAACATTAAATTCCTCTTCCTTCTATTAAAATAGACTCTCTTATAAACATACAGTTCAAAAACAACAGATCTGAAGAACAGGAATCTCCAGCAGTCAAACAGTATTTTATCTCTTCAACACAAAAGATGAAATTGGAAGAACTGCATTTTTAAGTAAGTGCTCTATGAAGATGACTACACGTCGTCTTGTTTTTGCAGCAGGATGTTCAGGCTCTTCACAGGAGAAGGATCCCGATGAGGAGAAACAGAGCCGGCTTCACGAAGGCGTAGATCCCCTCCACGCTCAGCGCTGGAGCTCCTGAACAGAAACAAGACGTACGCCACAATAAATTCACAATAAAGTCTTAAATGAGCCATGGCTTAATTAAATTCATTACGGTCACTCTAGGCTGTTTTAAATATCTGGCTTTGTTTTTAAGGTGGTGGGACTTTACATCACTCTGCATCAGTTGAAGCGTTAATCAAATATGTAGATTTAAACATTTATTTGCTGCTTTTCTGAGGCCACCAGTTGTGTACATTAGCTTTTTTTTTTTTAAAGAAATTATAATGATGGAACAAAAGTGGTTACAGAAACACTTGTTATAAAGTCCTAATTATTCCCTAAATATAATTAAATCTGATTAAGTTAGGCTCAAATGTCAACAAGTTGTCTGGTTTGTTGTAGGGGACCAAACATGTACATTCTGCTTATTAGCCATTTTTTGATTCTTAATGTATCAGTCTGTTAAAATACTTGTTTTCATGAAACTTGGTCAGAATTAGGTTTTTTTTTTACTTTTAAAATGTCATAACCCCCACTATTGCACGGTGAAGAGAATATAGGAGTGCTGCACAAAGCACACACACTCTTTACCCCATGGTGAAGAGTCCTACCTGTCTGAAAATGTTTTATACGTTGTGTTTTCGATAGAAATTATCAAGTTTCTATAACAAAAATGGTAAATCCACCCATCCATCCATCCATCCATCCATTATCTTTACCCGCTTATTCCATTTTGGGTCACGGGGGTCGCTGGTGCCCATGTCCAGCAATCACTGTGCGAGGGGCGGGGTACACCCTGGACAGGTCGCAAGTCCATCACAGGGCCACGTAGAGACAAACGAGACAAACAACCATTCACTCTCTCACTCACACCTAGGGACAATTTAAAGAGTTACCAATCAGCCTAACATGCATGTTTTTGGTCTGTGGGAGGAAACCGGAGTACCCGGAGAAAACCCACGCATGCACGGAGAGAACATGCAAACTCCACCCAGAAAGGCCCCTGGACCGGGGTTTGAACCAAGGACCTGCTCGCTGAGAGGCAGCAGCTCTACCAGTTGCGCCACCGTGCTGCCTAAAATGGTAAATATGAAAAATAATAAAACTTCATATATGGTTAGGTCTGAAGTTGTTGAAAATATTTCATGCAGTGGAAGTAAAAAAAAAAAACATTTATACATTACATTTTTTAATTGGGATTTTATAAGAAGGCCATTTGGGCCCAAAGGTGTTACGTTTATTGTCATTTTAAAGGTGCCTCAAGGGTTGAAAGCTAAAAAAATAATTTGAAGAAATGATTAGCATTCAGATATATATTTTAAATAATAAAACAAAAGTAACAACAGTGTCCTGATGCATGCTCAATAATCCAGTTGGTTAGGTCCTCTGGACAGATTCTTCAAAAAAGAACAACTACCTTGTTAGAAGTAGTTTTATGTTGCATTTGATCTCTTTTAAACTTGATATTTGACTATATGTAAAAAATAAAATCCACCAAGTTCACTGCTTGGTACTAAGCAAGAAGCGTTTTGTGGGTTTTCAGCTCAGAACACATTTCTGTGAAGGACGTTTGCAAATTCAAATTGAAATTTACGTAGTTTACTGATACAAGCATCTTGTCATGAAACTACATTTTATACTTTCTTTGAAATATTATTTGAATATATGTTTGCTTTAATATTTAATCATAGTGCTGAGAAACAAAAAAAATCATTGAATCAGACCTTTCTGACAGATTTTGATGACAAGAGAAACTCGATTAATCGCAGAGTTTTAATGTGTTCAGGATGACGGCAGCAGCCAAACTGTTCAGTTTGTGAGTTGAAACTAAGAACTGGGGCTTTTCTTACCAGCTCCGGCAGGCTGGGTCTGCGGCTCATCTTGGCCGACCGTACCGGCTGCCGCCACGTTGAGAGCGGCCCGCTGCTCAGCTGTTAGAGCTGCTCGCTGTTCGCTGGTCACCATGACGGCGTTGTCAGGCCCGAGAGCCTCCAGCTGAGCAACAGAGAGAGCCTGATGGGAACAGAAGAAAGAGATACCAAAATTAGAACATTTAATTAAGTAAACGCTTGTGCAAAGAAAATGTGACTTAGAGGAACTGAATAAATGTGGAATAAACTAAATATTTGGACGCAGCGAGGAGATTGTCCAAAGATTCAAGAATATTACAGATTGTGTTCCTCTGATTCAACAAATCAAATGGGGGAGACAAAGCTTCTTACAGAAAAGACTTGTGGAGGGACCTGTGGAATACAAGTCTGGCTGAAGAATGAGAAGACAGAGGAGTCCAGGGAAGACATTTCTTTTGCATCCAACCCAGCTGAGGGAGACAGACCCATGAGAATTCATCATTTATCTGCTGCCGAGCGTAAACACTTAATAACCGTTCCAAATCCTCTTGAGGATTTTTGATTGATTAGCAAGTCGATTAATTGATCTCACCCATGATGTTGTCAAATTCAGACACCTGGGCTTCAGTCCAGGACGTGACGCTTCCAAACGCCGACACAGCAAGTGTTTTGAGCTGCTGTAAAACCTCAGAGGGGCACTGAAGACCACTCATTGAACCCACGGCATCCCTGTGACAAACACATCCCAACATATCTCACTGCTCCTCACACATTTAGTATCTGAGGGAAAAAGCCTTTATCCAAAAGACAACTCTGATTAGTTACACTATTTAAGTTATAATTTATTCCATTTACACTAACAGTATTTATTTAACACTACTATCAGATAGTGATAAATCTTAGTTTTTTGACGTTAAGTGGAAAATCTTTAGTTGAGAGAAACAACAATGACGTGTTTTGCAGTCGGTTATGGTAGCAGGTGTTTCTAATGCTACACCCTTCTGTTTGTAGAAGTATGAGTTTTATCAGGGGCGGAAATCATTTGTCGGACGGACGAGTAGCAATGCAGAAATTATTTGTCTGCTGAACGAACCTGAAGGCATTCAGGCTGAGCTGACTGAACTCAGTGGAGTTTAGACCGCAGATGAACCGGTTTAGTCCGACCATGTCTGGAGCTTCCAGCAGCGCCGCGGTCAGATTGTTGTATTTAGACACACTTTTCCACACTGACGACAACTGTTGGGACAAGACTCACGTTACGACCGTAACTTACTGTTACAAACGTGGAACTGTATGTGTAACTGACCTGTGAATAATTCCAGCCACACTGGGCAATGTCGTCCAGAACGTCGAGCGGCAGCTGAAGCTGCTCCAGCTCAGAGTTGGAGAAGCCCTGCGTAATGCACCCCAGCTGCAAGACTGCACTGCCAGCCATCTGGGCTACAGGGCCAAAGGCCTGCACAAGTTCACAAAAAAACATTTCAGCTGAACACAAAAATCACAGCGCAAGATGTATTTGTTATCCCTACAATGGTTATAAAACCGCAGCTAAACAATGAATGAACAACCAGAATGTTCAGCTCCAGGATGAGCTCCTGCACTGTACCTGGATTGCTTTTTTACGGAGCACAGCCAGTTGTTCTGCAGTGTAGCCAGTGACCGACCCGAGATATTCAACAGTAGCCAGGAATGTGCTATTTGACATCATTTCCAGCTGTGCTGCTGTCCAGTAGACGTTATCCTGGCCCAGTTGTACAATCAGCGTTTCAGTAGGTTCTGTAGCGTTGCTGTAACTGTTACTGTCAGCTGAGAGCAGCAGATGGACAGAGACGTAGAAAGGTACATAATCAGACGAGCGTCTTTAAATACAGTCACAAACTGAACACGTTTGGTCCTCACCTGCTCTCCTTTTACGTGCCGGACTTGATGTGGTGCTGTTGGTGGTGCTGGGGTTAGTAGAGACTTTAAACAACTTCTTTTTGAAAGCATCTGAAATGTGGGTGAGACGTGACCTCAGGAAAACAAGAACATCCTTCAGCCAAGGCTAACAAAGACAGAGAAGTAGAAAGAAAATGTTTAGGAGATAAATTCATGTTAGTTTTGAGCACCGTATTGGGCAGGTGGCAAACGAAGACGATGGACAGTTAAATGTGAGGAAGATACACACTTCATTGGGTAGAGCAGACACAATAGTGTCATTCAGAAGAAGGAGGGGGCCCAGCAGCTCCACAGTGTCAGCCGTCCAATTAGAGGGACCCCTAAAAGCAACAAATCACCCCGAATCAGACTGTGCTCTCTGAAGCAGCTCCATCCACTGGAAGTAGGACCTACCCGAACATCTCGGTGACCAGTTGAATTAGATTGGCTCTGTGGCTTGGAGGAATGTACTGACAGGAAGCCAAGGCCTGGAGGCTGAACGTGATCACATCAGGAGCCATCAGAGTCAACTCAGAGGGATCCACCTCACACACGAGCGGTCCAAGCCTCAACACGTCTGCACTGGTCAGGTCAGACATATTCTTTCCCTGAAAATTCACAGGAATCTGTCACTGGATCACATTTTTGGGTTACAATGTTCAAACAGAACAGAATATTGGTTTGTCACTAGTCATGCATCTGTGTGCGTACAATGGTCAGGCAAAGAAGAGCTCGATTGCTGAGTGCTCGACGAGATGGAGCCTGAAGAGGCAACGAGCTCAGGTTGGCTGCTTCCATTTTGTCCAGGAACACCTGACACACCGAGTCAGGTAAATCCTTCACTTTCCCTGGTCTGGGTTGATGAAAATAGGAAGAAAAAAAAAACAACAACAAAGATTTATAAACATATGTATAAAATGAATATAAAGTAATTTAGAGAGCATGCTGTTTGCTTACGGCAGGTAAATTAGTAACAATGTAGGAATTGCAGCCAGCTTCTGCTCTGAGATGTTTTTAAAATAGTCCTTTCTCTCTTGCTCCAAACTCATAAAAAGTTTCTGTGCAGCACATCCTGCCTGAAAACACAGTATATGAATTATCAGCAGGTACGTTTTGTTATATCTACAGATGGCAGGAAGCGTCAGTGAAGTCTTACTTGAGCTTTGGAAAGCCACTCAGGGTTTTCTGTCATGGCCTGAGCCACGTCGAGCATGTTCGTGTTGTTAACTTCTGCAATCATCTTACAGGTGATGCCGCGGAGGATGGAATTCAGCCTCCTGGTTCAGAAAATAACATTTTGAACGGCAGAAATGATTCAACAGACTGTGTACATGAGGTCTGCATCAGCTGTGATTTTGGGAGAGTTCATTGTGTTTTTTCATGTATCATTATTAAAGGAGATGCAAAAGTTATTTATGCTGAAGTTTTTTAATACAGAAAGTATTTATATGTAGAAAGTTATTTTTCACTCATAAATCCCATTATAGAGTACTTTAGATAATGGAATGACCTTTAAAGGTCCCAAGGTCCAACAGGAGACTGAGAGGTGACCGAGCGTTCTCAGTCGCTGCCCCTAAACTGTGGAACGAGCTGCCTCTGCATGTCAGACAAGCTGGCTCACTTCCTGTTTTTAAGTCTTCTCTGAAGACACATCTTTTCTCTTTGGCTTTTACTTCAGTTTGAAATGTTGGTTTTAATGACTCTAAGTTATTTGTTTTATTTTATTTGTTATCTTTATTTTATTTCACATTTTTAACGTGTGGGGTTTTTATGTTTTTGTATGTCCTAGTGTACAGCACTTTGGCCAACAGTGTTGTTTTAAAGTGCTCTATAAATAAAGTTGTATTGTATTGTATTGTATTAAATCTGTGATAATTAGGGATGCACAATATTGGATTTTTGGCTGATATTCGATATGCCGATATGTTAAAACTTATTTGGCCGATAACTGATACCAATACCATTTTTATTTTTTTTCCTAGACCTATTTACAGAAACTACATAGCTTTCTCTGCTGTGGAATTAAAATACTACATTATTCTGCATGATCTTTGTCAATTTGGTCTGCTACCAAATGCAGATGCCAAAAAGGAGGCTGAAAATGATGTAACACTTCAACTTGGATTTTGTTTAATGTCAAATGTATTTGTGACATTTACTCTCTCTAACACAATGACATCACTCGATCAGTGCAAATTTGTAAATTTTCACAAATCTAAATGGCGTGTGTGATGTCATAACGTTGCGCTGGCGCTGCAGCCATCCTTGTCACTGGGTTGTCATACAAAAACAACACCTTTCATATACATATTGGACGAA